ATGGACTTTTTGTCAAAATTCGTCTCCTTCGCTAGTTGGCCCATGATTGTCAGCTGCTGGTCCAAGTTCAACTTGATATCCATGGCTCTCTCCACCAAATGGCCAGGCACGCATTCCGTGGCCTCGGAGGCCGAGGCGTAGACGATGAGTTTTTACAACTCGCGGGACGAGATCTCGATGGCCATCAGCTTTCCCTTCCCTTCATATCTAGTGTCCTCCATATCAAAGTCCTCCATGTCAAAGTCTTCTCTGTCCTCCCACCGTTCCTTCATTTCAAGTGTCGGCGCGGGCCTCGTGCGCAAGTTGCGCGGCCGCCTCTTCGTGGAAATGGCGGGAGGTGGGAAGGAGGGGAACGGGGGTGATAGGAATAGAGAGGAGGGGGATGGGGAGGAGGGGGAGGAGGAGGACGAGGAGGAGGAGGAGGAGGAGAAGGAGGAGGGGGTGCCCCCCACTCGACGATGACGATTTTGATTCGAATCCGGTTTCGGCGCATGGTACATTTACAATGCGTTGAGTGTACCTCTTCATGAAGAACCAACAGCTTGATGACCTTTTTGTTTTGAATATGTTCCATGACGCGTGTGTGTGTGCGTGCGTTGTCCGTTCGGTCGCTGTTTCATATACCTGGGTGGTGTAAATCGCAATGTGCGCTGGCGTTGTGAGTACATAATGTGTGCCAATATTGCACAAATGTCAGCAATATTGTTTTGCGATGAGCTGAGTGATTCAAATCATGATGCCGCTAAATTTACGAATGCGTTTGCTTAAAAATGTGGTGTTGTAACACATGTGCGCTCTTGCTATAATATGTGGGCAACTAGCATGTAGCATACGATCTTGAAACAGGATCTAACAGACCCCGGGGGGGACGACCAACCCCGCCCGGGCGAAAGTCCTCTCCATGTTGTTGTTGTTGTTGAATTCCCAGTTCCGAAGATTATTTTTTGTTCATCCTCCCCACCAGTGCATACGTTTTTCTCCATCAAAGTCTGCCCCTCGACGTTCGCATACTGTTTTTTGACAGGGGAAGTCTTCCTGGTCAAACTGGGCCCCTGGCCCCCGGGTTACAACAACAACGGTTCCCGCTTAAGACCTCCTTACAATTTAGGCAGGATATCCGCTCCCGCCCGACACTTCCTCGCATTGTATTCAGGAATCGCGTTCTCGTTGGGGACTTCTTTACAATTTATTCAGGAATCGCTCTGCTGGAGCTCTGGAGTCGCGCTCTCGGTGGAGATTTGCTTGCAACTCACTGAAGAATAGCCTTGCGTTGGAATTTCCTGCAATTTGCCCAAGCGCCGCGCTCCCGACACCCAGGCACCCAGGAGTCGCGCCCGCTGTGGCCCCATGTGCGGGGCCCTTCGTGGCCCCGCTGTCGCCATTTGTGTCCCCCTCATTGTCCTACGTGGCCCAGTTGCTACACTCAGTGGCCCCATAGTTGCCTTCTGTGGCCGCATTATCTGCATTTCGTGGCCCCCGCTCGTTCGCATTCTTCGTGGCCCCATACGCATTCCCTTCGTGTCCCCGCTGTCGCCCTTCGTGGCCTACTTCGTGCCCTTCGTGGCCCTGCTATCGTTCTCTCTCGCTCTCGCTTTCGCTCGTCATCGCCGTCGTCTTCGACGTCGTCGTCGTCGTCGTCGTCGTCGTCGTCGTCGTCGTGGTCGGTCCCCTGTCCGTCCCTCTTGGGGTCGGGTCGACGGTCCGCGGCCGCCCCGCCGATCAGCGCTGCCGCTGGCCAGGCCGACGGTCCGCGGCCGCCCCGCCGCTTGCCAGGGCCCGGCCTGCAGGGAAGAAAGGTACGTATACCCCCCAAAAGGGGTTCGATCGAAGACGTAGAGGGCGGGTATCGAGGGTTTGGGAAATCCGCGTTATTGGACACTCGAGCATACAAGGGCGAACAATCTTAAAATGAGTGGTGTTGTTGTTGTTGTTGCTGTTGCTGTTGTTGTTGCTGCTGGTGCTGTTGCTGCTGCTGCTGCTGTTGCTGCTGTTGTTGTTATTGTTTTTGTCATTGTTATTGTTGTTGGTGTTGGTGGTGCTGTTGTTGTTGATGGTGTTGTTGCTAGTGTTGTTGTTGCAGTTGCTGTTGCTGTTGCTGTTGCTGCTGCTGCTGCTGCTGGTGTTGTTGTTGTTGTTGTTGTTGATGTTGTTGTTTCTCCCGGCGCCTCCGGCTTTCGCCGGAGTCGCCGAGACCCCGGTTTCGACAGGGGTGTGCGCGTGTGTTTTTGTTGCTCCAAGAGCCTACGGCGCTGCCAGAGGCTCCAGAGTTTGTTTGCGTGCCGCCCAGCACGCGGCGCACAGTCGCGCGGGCGGGCGGCGTCGTCGTTCGTTCGTCGTCGTCGCGCGCGCCTCTTCCATTATTTTCTCCGCTGTCCGTCCCCTTCCTTTCGCGTCTATCATTTCTTTACTTGCCCCGCCTCTATCATTCCTTCATTCTGCTCGTCCCTCTCCTCCCTATCTCCCTCTCTTGCCCCCTCCTGCCCCGGGTCCTCATCCCGAGGCCGCTTTCCTTTCTCTTCCTCTCTTGCCTCTCCCCGCCCTGGGTCCTCCTCCCGGGCCGCTTGCCTCCCCCCGCCCCAGGTCTCTTCATCCCGCGGCCGCTTGCCTCCCCCCGCCCCCGGTCTCTACCCAATGTTTCGCCACGGATTCCTTCTGGTGGTCCCGGGGCCCGGTCAACGGGCCCTGGGGGCCAGAATCGAGGAGGAGCCCCGCGGATTTGGAAAGTCGTGCGGCCCGCGAGATCTGGGTGTCTCGGCAGGCCACGAGGGCGCTGGCACCGTTTCGGAGCCCAGGGTGGACCCGGCCAGGGTCCGTACAGGCGTTTGGCGTCCGCTCGTGGCTCCAGGACCGCGCGTCGGCCTGCTCGTCGGAGCCCGACGAGCTGCTCTCGGGGTCGGTCCACGAGCTGCTGCTCGCGGGGGCGCCGACGAGGGGGGTGAGGACTGGTTCGGGGTTGCGTCAGGAGAGGTCAGGGGCAACGCCGGGGAGGGGATAGCCGAAGAACAGACAACTGCATAAAAATGATTTCTCGTGGCGCCGCCAGGGTTTCTTGGATCTGCGTTGGGCCTCCCCTGGCTCGGGCGGGGCTACAACGAGGATGTATCCGTTCCAGAGCGTCTTAGAGCGTTCAGGAAAGCTATGAGAAGGCCGCGGCGCCCGAGACATCCTCTAAAGCCGCTGGATTTCAGAGAGTCTCGATTTATCCTTCCTCACCCGATTTTATCCTCGTCCTGGATTCGTCTTACTGGCGGCGCCTCCAGCGCCGCCCCTGGCGCGCTCCGCGCGCCAGGGAGGGGGTTCAGCGCCGATCCACGAATTCCGCGCGAGCGACAGGCTCGAGGTTCGAGGTTGTCTGGCGTCCTCGTTGATTCTCACGGGTATTCCAGCCCCGGGATGCGCTCCAGCAGCTGCGCCCCTCCGAGAGCGCTCTGGGGGTGCCCGGATCGTCCCGAACGGCCGCCGGAGGCCTCCGGGGAAGGCGATCGGCTCGGGGGGGGACGATGGGGGCCCGATAGCCCGCCCTGTCCACGGCCGTGCGGTTTCGCTCTCGGGTGCCTGTCGTCGATCTACCAGCGGTGAATCGCCGATTCCATCTCGATGTATCTCAGGATGGGAAAAAACACACAAACGCAATGAATCGGCGACCCCCAGGAAAATATGGGAAAATATGGGAAGTGGGGGGGAGACGAACTCCAGAAAATACTGGAAACAAAATTGGGAATCCTAAGATTTGTGTGTATCTATTTGTGTGTCCCTGGACCCTTCAGTATCCACCTTGAGCGGGTCTCCCCCTCACGTTCCCCCTCACAAGTGGGGGGTGAGGGTTGGTTGGAGGAGGGCCAGTCGTGACAACGGCGGCCCTCTCTGTGGCCATGAGATTTACACATGTCCATTGCCCCAGCCCGTGCCCGTCCTGGAGCCAGGAGTTGTGTATTATGTATATATACATATAGTTATAAATATGTGTATATCTGTATATATGTATATGTATATGCATATATGTACACCTTTCTATACATACAAACACATTTATATGTATATATATATATATGTGCACAAGACTGCAGTTGCGCTTCGCGCCGTGCACCTTGGTCATTGAAGTTTGGTATGCAGGCGGGATAGCAGGAAGGTCAAGCCGACGATTTAGCGATAACTCCTTGTTGCCTTTTCCGGCATCGTCGCTATAGTGATGCTATTCGTTATCCTTCCTCCATGCTGTTTTTTCTTTACGTTCGCCATACCCTGCATACTCTCCCCATCCTCCTCATTTCTTTTATGCGGAGGCTCTTCCTTGGAGAGCCTCTGGGGGCCTCACAAAAGTTGCTTCAGGTTTTCTTGAGGCCTTCTGGAGCCCCCTGGGCGTATTCTGGGGGCCTCTGGGGGCTTCCTCGGGCCACCCTGCCTCCAACCGCGGTCTTCCTGAACGACCGGGTCACGATTTGGAATGCTTCGGAGGGTGTTTTTGGGCCATCTTGGGCCGCCACGGTGCTCTCTGAGAGCCATCTTGGACCCGTGTTGTGCCGTTTTGGGGCTCTCTTGGGCTGCTTGGAAGCCTTTTCGGATGGTTTTGGAGCGATTTTGGAGCCTCCCAGGCGGCTTCGGACGCCCAGAAGGCCGCCGTCTTGGAGCGTCGGGAAACCGAAAAGAGAAGAACCCAAAAATTCACAAAACAAAAAAAAAAACAAAAAAAAATGTTTGTGCCTCTTGGGCCCTTCTTGGGAGTGGTCTTGGAGGCCTCTTTGGGGCCGTTGTGGAGGCCTCTTGGGCCATCTTGAAGTCACGTCGGTCACTTTGGGACGCCTGCGATGACCCCCCTGATCGCCCGAGGTGTACTGGGAAGGCTTGGCAAAACGCCCTGCGAGGCCTGGGGGGCCGCTTCGAGGCCCGTCCGGAGGGTCCCAAAGCCCCAGTTCCCGGGGGTCCGGTTTTTTTTGGGGGGGGGCCTTCCGCCCAGGCTTGTATCTCTCTCTCTCTCTCTCTGTGTAAATGTTATGTGTGTATATATATATATATATATACAGATGTGTATATATATCTATATATATATATATATATATATAGATGCATGCCTCCCCTGGCTTGGCCTCGATCCTGGTCCCAGGATGGGACTGGCCAGGGGCAGCGGGTATGCATGGTGTATTGATCTCGTCGCCCAGCTCCCTGGCGTTGCTCGTCTTTCCCTGTGACTCCTGCAGGCTTCTCGTCCCCTAAAAAAACGGGCCAGAGTGGACCCCTGGAGGGCCCCCGGGGGGGTCCGAGGCCGAGCGGCCCTGGGCTGGGCGGGAGAGGCGCCGTGGGCTACGATAGGGGGGCCAGCCTCTGGCAGGGGGCGGCCGGGGAGACATCTAGGCCTCCTGGGTGGGGTCGGAATAGATTAGGGGAACGAAAAATGACATAAACATAAAAACTCGGAGGTCCGCGCGGATTTCTTGGATCCGCGCTGGACCCCCCTCCCTGGCGCGCGGAGCGCGCCAGGGGCGGCGCCGGAGGCGCCGCCAGGGGACTCCAGCGCGGATCCGAGAAATCCGCGCGGACCTCCGAGTTTTTATGTTTAAGTAATTCTTCGCTTCCCTACAGATGGGGTCGGACGATCGCGCCGCATCGCCGATGCTTCGCCGATGCGGATTGCCCATGCATCTGCTTCACGTCGACATTGCCGATGCGTCGCCCACGTCGCCGATGCGTCGCCGATACATCGGCGGTGCGGCGCGATCTTCCCACCTCACCTGCTCGGACCCCATCTAGGAGGCTCCTGGTATCACGGCGGGGTTTCTTCTTCCGCCTCTTCGGCGCGCCCGCTGCTCATCTCCTCCGCCCGCGGCGCGTGCCGCGAGCGCACCGCTCCGCCGGCCGCTGCGGCCGCCGGGGACGAGGCTCGGCGGTTCGAAGACGGGGGCCCTCCGAGCGATGGAGCCTTAAGCGGGGCATGTCCCTCTACAGGAGGAGTAGTCAAGATTTGTTTCGACGATTACCGTACTCGTTTGACGATGTTCGATGATGTTTTGACTATGTTTGATGGTTCCCTGAAAATTCGCCTGTAGGAGGACCTGCCCGACCTGCCCTGAAAGCCCAGATCTCCGACGATCTGGTTTGCCCAAGTGTTCGGAGGTTCTCGTCGGATCCCGGAGGCATCATCGCCTCGGAGCGCTTTCCAGCAGCTGCGCCTCGCCGAGAGCGTTACAGGGTGGCCAGGGTCGTGCCGAGCGGCTGTCAGAAGCCCAAGCGATGGCCAGACAGCCCAGGTCGATTCGGATGTCTGGGCCAAGGGGCGGGAAGGGACCGCAGGTTCGTCTTACAGTCGCGTTCGCCGGAGAGGAAAGAGAGGTCGGCGGCGTCGGCGTCGGCTGCCCGCCCGCGCGGCCCGAAATCTCGGGGGCCAGGCAGTGGCCCGTCTCGGAGCGCGCTCGCGCGCGCTCGCCAGAGGGGGAAGAGACTCGTGGCCCAGCGGCGTCGTCATGGCCCAGGGGCAACATTCGACCACACGTGGGAGGGGCCTTGCGCCGAAGGGATCGTTGGTGCGGGCCCCAAAGGGTCCCCCGATCGCTGAACGCGGTGCGGTAGCAGCGTCTTGCGCGCCTTCGGGGTCGGCCCCCCCGCGGCCCCCAAAAAGCCGCGCACCAAGGATCACTCTAACCCAGGGTCACTGCTGCGTGCAGTTGAGAAGTGCGGCCCCCTGGGCCTCCTAGATGGGGTCAGAGTAGAGCTGGACAGAGGTTTAAGACCGAGGTCAGTCCGAGGAGGGTACCCTAGCGTTCTTCGTGTTTGTTGGATGTTCTTGTGCGTCCTGGGGAGGCTGCCCTTGGATGTTCTGTGTCTTTTGACCGGCGGAGTTTTCGAGGGATGTTCTTCTGTCTTGGGTTCGATTGTAATTAGATGGGTTCGGTGGATCGCGCCGCATCGCCAATGCATCGGCGATGCGGCTCGATCTGGAGCACGAATCCCAACACGCCGACATCACGGATGCGTCGTCGACATCACGGATGTATCGCCGATGCACCAGCGATGCATCGGCAATGTTGCGCGACCTACCGACCCCATCTACATCGATCCTACTCAGCCAGAGCAGGTGCGGGTGTGATCGTCACGATTGGTTTCTGGCGGCGTTTCGCTCCCCAATCAGACTGGCGCGTCCTTGTGCCTGGGCGCGCCGGCGAGTTGTGGCTTAATTGCGACAAAGGCGATCTCTTCATTTTCGCCGTTTGCTTCGCCACGGGCTCGAACGAGCAGGACGAGGAAGCCGCCGCGATCACGGCCAAGACGTCCCGGCAGCGGATGCGACGAGTAGTGGCGATGCAGCTTGCACCAGCTTCGCGGCGCCTCAGTTTACTTCTTGCGGACTTCAATTGGGTGGCGGACGATTTGGGTCGCATCCAGGTCGAGGGCCATTTATCGAGTGGCGGCTGCGACCAGAGTGAGAACGAGGACTTGGGACAGCAGCTGCAGGGCACTGACACTGACATGACCCAGTGGCGGAAAACGGCGCGCTCACGCACCAATACCAGGTGGCTTTGTCTCGCCTGGATCGGTGTTATGCCAATCTCCACCCCAATGGGCACGGCAGCGCTGGACTGGATTTGTCCAGGGTCGATGGGGCGCCCGCTCAGGACCCGTCTTCCGCTGCGCACGCCGCCATAGGCCCGCGACGGCGACGCCGGGCGCGGTCTGCCTCCAGAGATGGGGCACTGCCCGGCATGGAAGGACGTTACCTTGCTACTCTTCGCCGACAAGCTCGCCAACGATCGCACCGGCGCGGCCGCATCGCCTTTCGGTTATCTCCGACTCCTTAAGGAGGCAATGGCCAAGGCGGCCTTGAGCCTCCAGCGGTCCGCCCCGCGAGAGTTTCCGCATGACGACGTTGATGGCCGCCTGTCCTGGTCGATGCGGGGCTTGCAGGGCGTCCGCCGTCAAGACCGCGTTTTGCTGTTGAAGATGGCGGCGGCGGTGCCCGAACTCGCCCCCTGCCTGGCGATGCCGGCGATGGACGCTCCAGAGGTTCCTGCAGGGTACGGCTTATGGGTACGCGAAGGTGTTGGCGCGGGTTCAACTCGAGGAGGTGCACGCAGCCGCGAAGGCCAGCGCACCCGAAGAAGAACTTCGCGGGCGTCGCTGCTGGGAATTGCAGACTCCACGCCGCCTTCGGCCGAGGTCGGAGCACGCCCTGTCGGCGATCCAGCTACGAGACGGCTCGATCACGACGGACGCGCAGCTGGCTGCCCCCGCCTTGATTCGCCACTAGGCCGAGCATTTCGTGGCCAAGGGTGTCAGCAGCCTGGGGCGGATCTCTCCGTGGTTCGACGGGATGCCGACCTTCGCGGAGGTGATGCCCGAATGCGAGATTTCTGCTACCCAGGTGTGCCAGGCGCTGAAAGGCGCCGGCGAAACAGCCCCAGGGTCAGACGGCGAGGTCGGCGTCGAAGTGCTCGTGGACGCCCCGCAGGCGGTGGTGGCAGAGGGCTCGGATGAGACTGTGATGCGCGAGTACGGCTCGGGAGACAATCGGCTCGGATCTTGCGAGTTCAATGGCAGTTCGTTGGCTCTGTTTCCGAAGAAGCCTGCTGGGCAAGACCCCGCAGCTGGCGTAGTCTTCGCTCAACCGGACACGCGGCCGCTCATGCTCGCGGATACTTCGAACCAGTTGCTGGCCAGCGCCCTGCGGTACGCCATCGAGCCGGCGATCGAGGGCCTCGCGGGTGCGAGCCAGCGGGTTATTTTCCGCGGCCGCTCTATCTCGGCCAACGCCATTGACCGAGAGGCGTCGGTGCAGGCGGCGGTTCTTGATGATAACATGACGTACGCCCTCCTGTTCGACAAGCGAGTGGCGCTACCCAGTCTGGAGTACGACTACTTGTACTATGTCTTGGACAAGCTGGGGCTGCCGCGTGGCGTGCGCGCCGCCATCCGCGCATTCTACGCAGGGCAGCGTCGTTGTCTGGCGGTGGCTGGGCACTGGTGGGAGGGCGTTGCCATCGCGGCGGGGACTCGCCAGGGGCGCCCTCTCAGCCCCCGCCTCTTCGTGCTCGTCGCGGAGCCGTTCAACCGCCAGCTCGGCGCCGTCGAAGGCCGCCGAGAGCGCGGCGCCTTCGCGGATGATCTCGCGCTAGTGGGCGCCAGCGGATCACGGGCGCGGCCGCGACTGCGCCGCTTGTTCGGGGTTGCACTTCGCCGCAGCGCCGGGGTTGCACTTGAACGTGGCGATAACGGCGCTGCTGCCGCCGTGGACGCGGCAGCCCAGGGCCGCAGCCGACGCCCGGCGGCAGGCCGCGCCGGCCTACGGCGCAGCGCGGGCCGCCCACCCCAGCACCTACCCGGGCTTCGAGGTGGGCCCCGCGGCGGCAGACAGCGGTTGGGACGCCCCCGTGCGAAAGTTCAGGGAGGCGGTCTGCACGCGGGCGGGGCGGGCGCAGGGGGTGCATCTGGCGACGCTGGGTTACGGCGCGTTTGCAATTCCGAAGCTGCAGCACACTGCGCCGTTTCACGAAGCGCCTCCTGAATGGCCAGCTCTGGAGCGGTGGGCCCTTTCAAATGGCTCCCACCTGCGGTCGCCCAGCATTTGCGATGATTTCCAGATGTCGCATCAGCTGCAGTCGCTCATTACTTCGGGGCCTGCTGCCCAGCTGCGGGCGGCCATCGCTGGAGGTGGCCATCGCCAGCGCATCTGGTTGGACGAGATGCGGAATCGACTACAGCGAGCCCGCTACCATGCCATTGCCACGTGGGATGTCGATTGGCGATGGCAGAACTGGTTTACTGGGGGGCCCGCTCAGAGGCTGCAGGTCGAGGTGGACGACCTGGGCCGCCAGGGGGTCGTCACAGGGTCGCGAGTGTTAGATCAGGGGCTGGATTGCTGGCCGCGCCCGGTTACGCTCGCGACCTGGAGAAGGTCCCAGAAGCGCACCCAAGCCTCGGCCGCGACGTTGCTGCGGCGCTGGCACTGGCGGCTCATTGGATTTGCGGCATTGAACGCCGAGCCAGAAATATCGAGACCCGGCTTCCCTGCCAGGTCAGCGAGCCCAGCGACGCTGCTTGGTCACGCAACGGCTCCCGAAGACAACGCGGCCTCGGGTGCGGGCCGCAAGTCTGCGCGCGTGGCTGAACGGCTAGTGCACCGGGCGCCGATTCGGCACCCGCGGCGGCCGCCGCCTTTTCGGCTGCAGCGGGGGCGAGGACGACGTCAGGCACCGCGTCTGCTGCCCGCGGCTGTGGCGCTTCGGGGTGGACAGGCTTGGCCTGCGCGACCCCGGCTGCGCCGAGGCCCGCACCACTCGGGTGCTCTTGTGACAGGTCGGGGCAGCTTCTGACAAGGTCGCCAGAGCAGCCGCGATGATCGCAGTGGGCTACAAGGCCCACACCACACTCCGGCACGCTGCCGGTCCCCGCCTGGACGTCTCTCGGCGAGATCTTGCAGCAGAAGCAGGGGCCGCGGCCCCGGGCAAGCGCTGACGGCGGTGGGCGGGGCGCGGGGCACTTGCATTTTGCATGAGTGATGGGGGGTCGCTATGCCAAATGAGCGCCCCCTCTGAAGGGCATTGCGGCCGCAGACGTCAAAAGCCCAACTTCCAGGCATTGTCCGTGGAGGTGGCCCGGCATTGTCCGCGATCGGCCGGCTGCCACCGAGCGCCGTCGTTCTGGAGGCAGTGCTCGTTTTGTTTTGCACGAAATGCACGACTTCGTGCGTGGGTGCGCTTTAAAGGTACCGGGGGCTTGCGATGGCAATGTTGGTCTGAGCATTGTCCACTACTCTTGCCCGGCGTTGTCCGGCGCGATTTCTGGCATTGTCCGGCGCGTTTCCTGGCATTGTCCGGCGGATCTCACGCTTCTCTCGTTCTCCATCGTCCTCCTCCTCCTCCTTCGTCCTCCTCCTCATCATCAGCATCATCATCAGATCCTTCCTTTGTCTGAAGCGCAGCGCAATCGTGTCCAGGCAGGCCGAATGGCACCGAACTCCTACAGCGCGCTGGTCGCATCATAGGGGGGGCGCAGCCGTCAGTTCTCTTAGCATTGCGCGCGCTGCCTTTCTATCAGGTCGGTCGAATGTGGGAGCTCGGCAAGGCGGGGGCTAGTGCAAAGGTTTTGGTTTGTTGCTTCTTGTTGTCTCGATTGGCTGGCCGTCGCTCGGCCGGGCCGATACGCCAGGAGGGGGCGATCGACCGTTGCTCCTTGTCCCTTTTCCTCCCTCCTTTCGCCCCCCTCTTCCCTTTCCCCCCCTCCTCCCCCGCCGCCCGGGTGTATTGGGATGCTCGGGCCGAATTCGTGCACGGGTGGTTTTTTGGCCCTCCTGTCAGCCCCTCGGCCGGGCCTCCTGTGGTTTTTCCGGCCGCCGAGGCGTCTTCGAGCCTCCGCTGGTCCGCTGTCAGCCTCGGTCGCTGCATTCATTTGACACATTCGTGCGAGTCGTTGCCGCGTTACCTTGTGTTGCTTCTCGCTGGCTCTCCCTCCTACTTGCTAGGTCCGTCTTCGGGTACTCGCACGTATGATATACAGCCGCAGGGAGCTGAACCCTATGCCCCTATTGATCTCCATGGGATAATAATGTTTGGGGCCCACCGGGGATAATCAACGTCTTGCCGGAGATCGCAGTACCATGATGAAGATGATGACGATGTTGATGATGAAGATGATCCTGGACCCTCCGTAGGATTCCCTCGGAAACCCATAAGGTCCAATTAGGGAATCCATCGAATTTCTTTGGGCATCCATAGGATTCCTTCGGGCATCCATCGGAATCTTTAGGAACTGCATAGGATTCCTAAAGAAACCCTTAGGATTCCTTCGGACATCCATAATTCGGATTCCTGAGCAAATCCGTGGGATTCCTTAGGGAGTCCCTCGGATTCCTGCGGAAATCTACGGGATTCCTTAGGACATCCATCGGATGTGTTAGGAGATCCATAGGACTCCCAAGGACATCCAATCGCGTTTGTCGATTCGATATTGGCTCCGCGAAAATCAAGTTCGGCCTTGCCGCCCCGCTCCCCCGACCAACTCTCAGTGGTGAAGGGGCGGTAGGCTTTATTATATGAGTTCTAGGTTATTTTTATATATATATATATATATATGAGTTTCGGGTGTCTTGTTTCCCTCGTCCCCTTTTCCTGTCGGAATTGCCCACCCCTTGCAGTACGGCCTTGCAAAGCTGCTTGCCGATGCCAGTCTGTGCCATGTCGGGTTTCATATCTGGCCAGTGTTGGCAATGGTCTCAGGCATGCTTCACGGTGGTAATGCGTGTTGGTGATGTCCGCTCCGTCTCCTTCCCCCGACGAAATCGAGCCTGCTTGGGTGGCCCGTTTGACCTCATCTACTTCGACACCATCCAGTCCGCCTGAACCTGCCCAATCCGGTTCCATCGGGCATATCCGGGATGATCCGCGCTATTGGCCCCGTCATCCCCCAATCATTTTTACGAAGATTTGCCAGGAGTTGCCTCCTGACCTCGTCCCCGGAAACTTGACGTCATGTGTTTACAACGTCGATCGGCCTGGACCCATCCCCAGGACCGGCTTTCCATCCCGAGTCGGTTTTCGACGGCCCCGAGGCCCAGCAAGGGCCCCCAACGACCGAATTTGGTGGAAAATTGTCCATCGTGATTTTTGTCACGACGCTGGCTACGGGTCGTCCTTGGGTCAGGGGCGCCCTAACCAACCCCAAGCAAACCATCCCTTTCCGTGACGTGTCCCCTCGCCTCGCCCCAAGACGTATATGTGCGGTTGTAGAGAAGCTTGGAAGGCGAGGATGACGGTACGGAAGGTGCTGGCCACGGTAGGGGTCGGTTAGGCCTCTCCCAATTGTTCCATCCATCCAGGCCCCATCCCACCAACGTAAAAAGCATATTTATCCTTGCGATGGGCATCACCCTACCTCGACGCCGATCTTCAGGATGGCCTCAGTTTTTGAGAACGCATCTCAAATACTGTCGTCGCTTAACTTCGCTACCATCGGAGCCGGCCAGGGGAGGAGGAGGAGGAGGAGGAGGAGGAGGAGGAGGAGGCGGGGGAGGAAGAGGCGGAGGCGGGGGAGGAGGAGGAAGGAGAGGAGGAGAGGAGGAGGAGGCGGAGGCGGAGGTGGAGGCGGAGGCGGAGGCGGAGGCGGAGGCGGAGCGGAGGGGCGGGCGGGGAGGGGGAGGGGGAGGAGGAGGGAGGAGGAGGAGGAGGAGGAGGAGGAGGAGGAGGAGGAGGGAGGAGGAGGAGGAGGAGGAGGAGGTGGAGGAGGAGGTGGAGGAGGAGGAGGAGGTCGAGGACGAGGGCGGAGCAGGAGGAGCAGTTGGAACCTGGGTGGGTTCGAGGCTGGCTACCGACCCTGCGCCGCGAGGCTGGGCCGCTCGCCCCCGCGGCGGCGCGCCGCCTTCGGCCCGCCGCCTGCGCGGTCGGCGGCAGGGGCGCGGCGGGCGCCGCGCGGGGGCGCGCGCTGCCGGCCAGCCGCCCCGCGGGGGCGGCGCGGCCCGGGCGGGCCTCGTCGGCCACACGCGGAGGAGGGAAAAAGTACGGTAGGTTCGCGTCGTGTCGACCGGCGGCGACCCCGCCGCGGGCGTTCAAGGTTGAACGCCGCCAGTGGCCCATAATCGGCCTCTATGGAACGATCGAGCGATCCACAGTCGCCGATCGTTCAAGGTTGAACGATCCACGCGGAGTCAGAAACCAACGCCGGGGTCGTCACGACACGAACCTCCCGTACAGATACCGCCATGAGATTGCTACAGGTACCCCTTCGCCCGTTTTCATCGCGCGTGAGACCCGCTTTTTTTCGTCGCTCGGATGGGGTCGGAGGATCGCGCCGCATCACGGATGCATCGCCAGTGCAACGGCGATGCGGCTCGATGTGGAGCCTTCTGTTCTCCACGCCGACGGCACTGATGCATCGGCGATGCGGCGCGATCCTCCGACCGCATCGTTTTCGGATCCCCATCTAGCAGGCTTCTAATCTCGGAGGAGGATAAAGTACCGATACCGCCATGATATTGATACCCTTCGCCCGTTTTCTCCTTTCTCTGCCTCCTGGGAGGCCCTCGTCGCAACCGCTGGATTCCCCTCGAGATTTTGGTCAGAACGCGTTTGGGGAGAGGTCCAGGGAGTAGCGGAATTGGCACCTCTTGGTTTCCCCGCAAATCGGTGGTTCAAAGATGTCAGCCACGCGCACAGGGGGGTAGGGGGAGTGGGGAAGGTTTATTAGACGCACCTTTGTTTCTTAAAAGGCGATGGCATTATCCGTAGATGTAGGGCCGGCGCCTTCTAAGAAGCAGCTACCTTCTTGGCAGCCTTCCCTCCTCCGCCTACCCCCTTGTGCGCGCCGCCAGGAATCAGTGGTTCAAAGATGGGATCCTGATGGATGGGGACCCGAGGACAGGAAAGGATCCAAGAGCGGATTTGCGTTGTTTGAGGCACTTTGTCCTCGGGCCCCCATCCCTCAGGACCCCGTCTTGGAGCTACTGATCGAGGGCCCCCAAACTTGGAGACGTCTGGGGGTCCGAGGTGGCTCAGCACTATTGCGGCCACCAGGAAGGGCGGCCAGATTCGAGAGGCTCTGGGTTCGGAGAGTTTGTTTTGCTTTTTGTCTCGGTCTCCGGGGGCGTTCTCTTAAGCCCTGGGACTGAACAATTGCATCAGATGAACCCAGGGAGTGATCGGGGGACCGATCTTGTCGGGGTTCACTGGACGGGGGTCAATGAAAACGGGTGTCAGTCAGAGCGCCAGATTTTGCAGGATGTTGTAGAGCCAGGGGTGCATTGACCCATGCTTGGGCGCAGGATCCTGCAGGATCCTGCAAAGCCTGACTGACACGGGTCTGAATTGACCCAGGTCAGTATATCCCCGATTTTAAACGGATGTGGCCTCATCCCCCCCTCTCGATCGATCTTCCCTGGGGCCCCGACCGGTTCAAACCCCCTGGCCGCCTTCGGCCCAAAACGGTGTGGTCACCACACCGCGTGGTGACTCAGGGGGGAATCCCTCGCCCTCCACCATCCGCACCCTCGGACGGCAGGTGCCGCGCAGCGGCCGCCGCCAGTGC